GATTGGTTATCACCAGCCCGATTTGAGCACTAATGGGACAGTGTACGCGTCATGTTTGTAATTGGACAGTGTTATAGGACAGTTAAAGAGACAGTTAACACGTCATGCCTTTGTAAGTGGACAGAACGCGTCATGAGCGCGCTATTGTATCGCATTTCGCCGAGTTGACTGGGGATATTTTTATGAAAACGTACAAGCGATGTCTAATTTCTTTCGCAAATTTTGTCATAGTTTTGATTAATTGGTAACAGGACTTCGTGTCCTCAAATTCTGTTTGTAATCATAGTGGGGATTAACAAATCGGACTCCCGCTTCGCGCTCGTCCGATTTTGTTAGTCACTCGTATGATTACAGACCGAATTGGACTCCACTCGGTCCTATTACCATTATTAATCAGAAAGAATTGGACGACACGAAGTCCTATTACCAATTGTAAAAACAACAATTGAATGAGAGACAACAGCGTGCGCTCATGACGCGTTCTGTCCACTAACAAAGGCATGACGTGTTAACTGTCCCTTTAACTGTCCTATTACACTGCATTGCTTGTCGGCGACCCATGTTTCAAAGATATCATCTATCAGGGAAGACGTTTGTTGCAACCTCCAGGAGCAAGGAAAGAAGTGGAGATGATCGGACGTATCCTCAACGTTTTCCCCCTCACTGGAGAAATATCATCAGTGGCGTTAGTTCGCTTTGCAGCGCACGGTAAAATGGAAACTGGAGAAGTTATCCTGGCGCCAAACACCGCAAGAGAGATAACCCTCAGCCGCAAGAGAAAGACTATCTACTGACGATGAAAGATGTCATGGAAGCTGGGTTGCGAGCACGTCTGGTTGTACTTAGCTGCTGTTACACTGCTCTGTTGTGGTAACCTTGTGGGCGATTGACGACGAGGGGACCCTGGAGTTCATTAATTTCCTTTACGATGTACTTGCCAAAGGCAAGAAGGCAAGTGAAGCTCTCAATTAGGCCGTGAAGTGTATGAGGGAAATTGAAAGTTCAAGGAGGTGATTTACTGGGCACCATTTGTACTCATTGGTGATAACGTCAACCTGGATTTCAAGGATATTTAGAAGTTGCAGTAAGTAAATACTCTGTTTATACATTCTGTTCAATACAAAGTTTCATTAAATCAGAATTATTGCTTATGTGTGAGTACTGATACTTTCGTATCATTTTCCTTTCAGTTGGGTTACAAATTTATTTTTCGCTCCGGCAAATTGAGATGCATTACAACCAAGTAGACACGTTTACGATGATAACATTCTTTTTAGGAAACATGATAGGAGTAAAACTGCAAATTTGTTTAGGTAATCACATGATTTTTCTCGTGCAATTTGGAATAAATAAGCACAAGTAAATTTTTTCAAAGACTAACAAAATTGCATGAGCCCGTAGGGCGAGTGCAATTTGTGGTCTTTATTCCAAATTGCACGAGAAAAATCATGTGATTACGTATTAATAACATAAATGAAAAGGTAGAGATAGCCTATCATAATTACACAGAAGCAAAGCGCGCACA